TATACAAAAACAAGTTTTTCTCGAGAGCTAGGAAAAAAAAATTGTATGTGTTTCCATTCACGGCCGAAATTCTGTTATCATTGAGAATTTAACTGAAAGAATCGTCACCAAACCAATTTCAAGCGCGTATACGATGGGGGTGCAAGCGATGTGCATTTCAATAATAATACACGCGGAACAAACATAGAACTACCATTGAGTGAGCCACTCACAAATCAAACGGAACAATATTCAACGCACGCAGACAAAAGTATGATATGTTTATGGAGCAGAAAATAAAAAGAGTCGATGTGTACAGAAAGAAGCAAAAAAAACACAACTCACAGAGAGAGAGAGGGAGAGTCAATAAAAATGAAATGGAACTGCAACTGGTACAATTTTGTAGGTTCGTTTGTTTTCGGCAGCCGCGCGCACTTAATGCACAAGTGATGTTCATATTAATGCGTAATGAATGCTGATGAATTCTGATATCGCATACGTGGACGCTCATTCGGTCAGGCGCGCGATTTTTTTTGTTCGTCTTGTTCTTCGTTGACATTTGACAGGCTTATGCAGTTTTTGTTTCTTTTACTGTTTTCGATTGAACTTATCTGAACGTACATATCAATGAGTTTGCTTTCAAATGGCCTTTTAATTTCGGGCAATTTAAATTCACGGTTTTGCATATCAACCGAAGAAAAAACGGTTTAAACCACTGTAATGGATATGAAATGAAGGCTTGAATACATTATATATCGGAAAATACCAAACAGACTCAATTGCAGTCAAGTTAGCATAATCAATAATTTCTGCTTGTAAATAGTTTGTTTTTGTCTAAAACAACGATTACTTTTTTTGGTCTGAAGAAATTACTCGAATTGGGAGTGAGGCTGTCAGCGTGTAGGGAACTATTCAAATCCTGATTCAATAATTTCGTGACATGAGAAATAAATTGAAGGCGGAAGTTGACGCAAATCGAAATAATTCTGGTTTCCAATGGGCATTTGATGTCACGTTCCGATATCGTTTCGTTTTTGGTACGCTGATAAACGTTGCATGTAAAATATGTCAGCTTGCGAGCTAATACCAAACAAATAGGATTAAATGCCACAAATAACTGAATGACAATCGAAATAGCAGCATTGAGTTTCTCGTTTTTCTTTCCATCTCCCACTCTTTCTCTCTCTCCCGGCCGTGGAATCGATTCGAGAGCATCCTTCTTGTTTATCGTGCGCGCACCACAAAAATTCCATCGAAAAAAAAGAGTACAAGGGGCCTTGACAATCCGAACGAGCTTTATCTTTGATTGTTGTCCACCAGCGTAAAATGAAGCAACCCATCACAGTGTGTCACATAGGAAAGGCTCTATTTAGCATTACACTGTTTCGTCTATTCGATATGAAATACCGATATAAGCGCGTCGCCTCGGCCTCGGCCGACAAACGGTGGCGGTGGTGACGGGCAGCGGCGGCCGGAATGGAATATGTGGAGCACATTATTAAACTGCATGACATTACACGATCGACTTTCGGAATCAAACTGCCACCATGCCTGCCATCATCGTCATTAAATGCAGTCAGCACAGTACAGCTGTGCAAATGAACACATGAACGATGCCCGAGTACGAGAAATTGAAGCGCACAACACCATATCTACAAACAAACTATAACAACACAGGCACTAAAGCAATAACATGATAGAGAATTTACGAGCGGCCGGGAAAAAGGAAAACAAAAAGAGAAAAAGAGTAACAACGACAACGGCCATCACACAAATCACTCTAACCAAACATATCATGTGTTTAATCGACTCTTGTGTGGTGTTGTGCAAATGCGTATTTGGCAATTCAGTTTCACATAAATATTCTCTGTCTCGCGTGCTCTCTCTCTCTCTCTCTGCCATTCTATTTCTTTCCTCTTTTTTCCCTTCTGTTTCTTCCACGGCTCTTTGTTGTACGAAGAGCGCGCGTTCTTCCAGTGTGTCGCTTTGTTTAGTTCCTATGTCAGTTTTGTCCGTGTTCCCTGTCGCTATGAATGTTCACCGAGCGAGTATTTGTTTGCATTTTTGCTGTCGATGTTTTCCAATCGGTTTTATAGCCCGCTTGTAGTGAGTATGTGCCTGTTTGTTTGTTTGTTTATTCGTTTGCTCGTCTTTTTCTGCTGCTGCTGCCTCCTTCTTCTTCTTTTTCCACGAAATTGGACATGCAATGGCAGTTGGCACCATTCACTCTTTGCATTTTTTTTTCTTCTTATTCGTCGTCGTCGTCGCTTCTACACACTGTGTGTTATGCGTGCAATTTATGTATGAAATTCACTTCAAACCTAATATATTCGAAGAACCCAACAACTGACGATTCACGACAATATTATATTAAATTGCTATTGCATTTTTGCACTCCATCTCCCTTATCCTCTTCACTTCCATTTGGCTCTAAGTGTGTGTACTTTATTTGTGGTTGTGGCTGTCTTGTTAGAGTTGTTAGTTCGACGACGTTGTTGAAATAAAGACAAACAGAGAGTCACTCGCGCGCGATCAGTAAGTGGAACAGAAGCAATCGAAAGCATAAAGGAAGCAGCCAATGGTCAATTCGGACCTGAAATGTCTTACTTTTTTGGTGTTGAAATCATGAACTGTTGTGTCCGGGTGTTGTGTGCGTCTGTCTCTCTTTCACACAAAATGCCACACACTGCATTTCACTTTGTTAGTCAACTATGCGACAATTCAACGTGAACCGTATCACTCGTACTCGAACGTACGACAAGTTTTATTAACATGTTTTTTTGATTGCGTTTTTGTGTGTTGTTTGCGCGCACACGAATTGAGCGGAAAGAAAGAAATCGCACAGCAAACGTCATTCAATTGGTGTTGCGTATCAAAGGATTTGCATTTCTCAACAACTGTATAAATTATTGTGTGCAAGTTGCATTCAACATTAATTCAAGCGCATAAATATTCATCAGAACGAGCGATGCAATCCAATCGATGGCACTGTGTGACGATTGCTAACTCAAAGTTGAGTATGTGTACGAACGTGTGTATGTTTGTGTTTGCAAAGTGAAAATATCATTTGCTTTTCTTTCGTTTTTTTTTCCTCGGCACTGTAACGATGGCGCAGAGCAGAGTGTTCGAGGCATCACTTGGCAAATTGAATGATGACACTTTACTACCTACACAATTCACTCAGCAATCAAATGAAGCGTCGAAAAAAATGAACTCATCGAATCACAACAACTGCACAATAAAAAAGGTAGAGACAGACACACACACACACCGAGGAAGAATGCATCAGACATAAATATCATGTGAGTTGGTTCAGTCAACAGTTTTCGGATCGTTGACTCGGTGTGCTCTTTTGTGCATCTTTGCAGATATTTGATTTGCATATTGGCAACAATTAACTGAAAGAGCAGCGACACGTTCGGTCTGTTCATCAATCACATCGCTTGAATGCGGCGAGAATATTTCGTCTCGCGAATCGTTTCGCTGTGACTGCATGTGTGGGTTATTTCTCATATTAAACTATATGAGTTGGTGGCATTCGTTTCTCTTTTTTTTATTGTTCGTTTTTGATTGGAGGCCTTTCCCATTTTGTCTCTCGTTGACTTTCATCACTTGCATGTCATCATACTGATGTACTGGCGCACGAACTCTCTGCTCTTAGCTATAAAAAGAATGGGCCCGCATTTCGTCATCGTCCGCTGTTCCAAACAATCTCACTTCAACCGGTTGTGTGTGCTTGCTGCACAAAGAAGAGAGTCAACGTGAGATTTATGTAGATGCGAAAAAAAGCATTCAAATGCCTGTACTGTGTGCTGTGTGACATTTATGGTCATGTATGGCGTGTCGATTCATTTGCACTCTTTGGAATTTTCGGAACTGTACAGTGCGAAAGCCGGAAAAAGAATTTGAAAAAGAGACATACTACATACCTCATCGTCGCACGCATTCTTTTTTCGCTCTCTTGATGAATAGAACTAAAATAGAACCTTTTAGACTCTACCAAACGAGCCGCTCACTCTTTTATTGTTGGATGTGGTTTGAGCGATGTCTGTGCAGCGCCTACGTCGCATCGCGGGAGAGCGCGCACGATAGACAGACAGAGAGAGAGAGAACAACAGAGACAGAGACGAATGACCGAAATGTGCGAAATTGAGCATATATGCGACCGATCCGGTCACGGGAATGCTGGAGCAATAAATAATTCACAATTATCATGACACAATATGTACCGAGCCGCGAAACATGTGCATTTTTGTAGAAGTTCATGAATCGTTCAGTAATTACTGCCATTGTTATTGCCATGGTAATTTGACAGTTGTTTTGCATGCATTCCATTGAATTAATTCGTCTGGTGAAGCGTTTGAATGCAGCGGAAAAAACATTTTATGGCTGACAAAACGAATGAATAATGTGATTAGCCATATCACAATGGTGAGTGATGATTATGATGATCACATTCGAGTTTCGTTCAATAAACATCATTGCGACTGAAAGAATATTACAAAGCTTCCCGAAAATCGAGAATTAGGCAACAACAACAAAAATTAGGCGGCTTCAAGTATTAATCACAAGAATTTGCATCAAATTTTGTAGAAAAAAACCTAGGAAAAAACAACTCTTATAAAAATCGTTGATGAATAGCCGAGAGTTGAGCCTGTCAGTAGTATTTGTTGTTGTAATTTGTTAGTTCGAACTCTCACCGCTTGCATGTACAATGCAAATCAGATGCGTTTTTAGGGGCGCCACTTTCGTGAAGCTTGTATTAGACTCAATCTACGTGAATAGCCTACCCATAGAAAAATGAACGTTCCTTTGTAACATCCTGGTTTTATCGATTTTATTTCGACTAAAATTTTTAATAAACTCGGAAAAATGTAATGGCATAAACATTGATGATTGAAAATAAAAGGTGTCTTAAGTGCTTGTCGATCCTCATTTTATACCCTCCCCATTGACTTTGTTCATGATTCAAAGTTCCATCGGCTCGAATCGAAAAAAAAGCTTCCTTGTTGTTTACTTACCTGATGTCAATGCTGATGACTTTCAACTGAATTTCTGTGGGAAGAAAAAAAAAATTTATTAACCATGGAGTGAACGTAACAGATTGTTGTAAATATGCTGTTAGCAATTTTTGTCAATAATTTTCATTAATGAGTTGTGCTTGAACGTTAATTATGGAAATAGGTATCTATTATTTTTGAGGCGTCATCAATGGTAGCTTTGAATATATAGTAAAGAAAAAAGTTCACCACTTTTGAAACTAATTACATTAGCTCTAGCCCCGTAGCAAAAAGGTAAATGAATTTAGAACTCATAGCATTTCAATGGTGGGGAAAACTTTCCGGGTGAGCAATAACTTGGTCAATATGTTTCAGTGAAAACATTGTTACACTCGACCTAAAAGTGAATTGGTATTCGCTCAATGGACTGCGCCTGGTTGAAACCAAAAGTTGAATATGCATGAAGGGTTTAATAAAGTTGTTCACAAAAAAATCAAGATGAGCGGTCAATTTTCATCAGTTCACAGAGATAAGCCTAGTCGTTAGATGATGAGACTTCGGTCTAAATTCGTCGTTGAATGTGGCATTATTTATTGCAGTTGAGTGCGCAAACAGTTGATGTTTTAAAATTGAAAATTGCCTGATTTTATGCAGTCATAGCACGAACATTTCGCTGCTATTAATTCACTGAATTTGTGTTCGTAGCCACGAAAAAAAACCATCGTGATCGTGGAAGAAAGCAAAACATGTAAATGAGTCCTCATGATGGACGGAGACTAATATGTGAATAAACTTGTTTCATTTTGATGGTGCACATGCTGTTAATGTTCGCTAACTGTGAAATACTTTTGTCGAAAAAAAAGACGACGACGACGACAAGAAAACGAAAAACGAAATAGAAATGCAAAAATCCCATCAAATAGATGCAGCATTTTTTACGGCGTTTCTTTTCGCACACCAAAAACAACATTCACACGAGAGATAGAGAGAGAAAAAAAAGGAGCAAACGAAGAGAAGGAAAAAAAAGTTGCGCTGCATACTAACATACAAAAACCATAATTTTATATCGAAAAATCCTAAAAATACACACAGTGATCGTCATGATTGGAGTTTAACATCATAATTTTCCAGCTAAAATTCAATCCGACCGACTGAACGAACGGTTTAACGACTTTGAAAGAGACGTTTTATTTTCTGAATGATTCCCTCAAGCGGGCCATCGATCAGAAGTTTGGTCATCCATAACAAGCATAATTTATGGTGACACATCAGAAGCGCGAAATACCAAAGTAATGGCCTGGTCCATTTTGAGAATGAGCCAATAATCAAACACTGCTCAGAGCGATTTGAGCAGTTTGTTGTTTATGCTTTTTTATGAGTTCGTCAATAAAATCGACTTGGAATAAGAACGAGGAGTGCGTGTGGACGATACTTTTTTCTGGGTTCATTTTCTTGTCCATCGTTTTTTTTCTGGGTTTTGTGATGTGGTGCAAGACATCATGCCAGGAAACATCAAAAATACATTTCGCGCACAATAAAAATAATGTTCACTATATTTTTGCCATTTTTATTGCATTTAAAGTGGTTATGTGATATGTGAGCATCGATTTATAGCCGTCTATGCAACAGAGATCGAGAGAGTATTTGTGCATACGTACAAGTGATGATGCATTATCTCTTTATACTACGTCTCTCCCTTTCCTTCTCTCTCGCCTCTCTGCGGAGAAAGAGATGAAAAAAAATAGCCATCACGCAGATTTAAATGATCGCATTCGGGCAAGAGCACGCATAAAATCCACGAAAAAAATATTCTCTCGCCGAACGCGTTGATTGTGATCCGTTTGGATCGTTTGTGTATATAAATATACTACACAACATTCCACGTCGCGCACATTTTGTATATTTGTTTTGAAGATTGAATGATTTATTGCTGTCAGCTTGATGGAAAATGTACTCAATTTATATCGTTCACTCAAGATACGACAGCGTCAACACAGAGCCTCTCATTTATAAAGATTTGCAGCGACCCCGCGCGCGCTCTCTTTCTCGCCACATTGATGTACAGAAGTGGCAGTTGTTGTTGGGGCCTGTTTATACTTTATTAAATCGGCTTCTTCTTTGTGCTCTTGCTCTTGCCTCTTTGTCGATTGTGTGGTCATATCTTATTTCTGTCTCTGCTCTATCAATTATCGTGCCGGTCGTTCTTTTTTTCGTCTTCGTCGTCTTCGTCGTCTTCGTCGTTGGAATTTGATGCCATTGCTGGGCTTAGCCTTTTGACGTTTAATTTTACACTTACCAGTCGACCGCGAATATTAATAAAGTATACTGAAAATCATTTCATTTTCAAGCTCATACATATTTCTTCTCTCTCTCTCTCTCTCTCTCTCTCTCTCTCTCTCTCTCTCTCTCTCT